ACATTCATTTTAAAAAACGTATGTGCTACAGTACTGCATGATCTGTGCTTGGCCGAATCCATGTGCACGAAACTGCAGAGATGGAGGTCTAACTATAAAGTTTAATACAGATTTTAGACTGTGAGGCGGGTAAAGCCCCCAGCCCTCATGTTGTTCAAAAGTCAAGTGTACTGTTAAACTCAGAATAATCTACTGTTATAATGGTGATGGGTAAGCCACTTATAAATGTAGTATAAAAGTTAAAAGACAAAAGTAGTAAAATGACTATAATACAAAAACTTTTAAATGAATACACAAAATAAAAAAATGTAAACTGTGACATCAAAAACATAAAACATGAAGAGGGATTAAAATTATAGAGCTTTAGAATGCATACACACGTAAGATTTTAACAGCTTTAAACAGACTGTTATAGCTCTGTTTTATGCAAACCTCGTGAAATCACAAAGGAAAAACATATAGTAGACATATTAAAGATAAAGAGAAAGGAATCTAAAGATACTACATTGAAAGTTACCGAATCACAGTGAAAGAGAACAGGAATGATAAGGAAACAAAAGAATTAGAAAAATAGCCAGAAAACCATGTTTTTAAAATAGCAGGAAGTCCCTACCTACCAATGATTACTTCAAATTTAAATGAACTAAGTTCTCCAATCAAAAGATAGAGAATGGCTCTATAAATTTTTTTAAACATTCCAGATTTAAGTATATGCTGCCGACAAGAGACTCACTTCAGCTCTAAGGATGCACACAGACTGACAGAGAGGGGGTAGAGAAAGACATTGTATGTAAATAGAAGCCAAAATGAATCCGGGTTGCTATGCAGGAAAAAAGGAGGGTTTAAGCCTAAGACTGTAACAAGAAACAAAATTATGTCCGTATATAAGGATAAAGGAGTCTATCCAACAAGAGACTGTACATTGCACACGTTTATGCACCCAACAAAGGATCACCTAAATATATAAAGGTGATATTAACAGAACAAAGGGGAAAAATAGAAGTCAATGTGATAATGGTGGGGGAATCCAATACCACAGTTTCATCTATAGATAGATCATTCAGACAGAAATCAATAAGGAAACATTGTCTTAAATTACATGTTAGAACAGATGAAATTAACAGTTATTTATAGAAAATTCCATCCTAAAACAGCAGAATACACATTCTTCTCAAGCATACATAACATTCTCTATGATAGATCATATGTTAAGCCACAAACGAAGTCTTAATAAACTTAAACTGAAATCATATCAATCCTCTTTTCCAACCACAATGGTGAGAAACTAGAAACCAAGTACAAGAAGAAAAGTGGAAAATTCACAAATACGTGAAGATTCTACAACATGCTACTGAACGACCAATGTGTCGAATGAGAACTCAAAAGAGTAATAAAAAATTATCAAGAGACAAATGAAAATGGAAACACATAATATCAAAACTTATGGGATGCAGCCAAAGTAGTTCTAAGAAGGAAGTCCACAGCCATAAAAGCCAACATTAAGAGAAAGAAATATCTCAGGCAACCTAACTTTAAACCTTGAGGAACTAGAAAAAAAAAAGAAATTAAGCTCAAAACCAGTAGATGGAAGGAAATAAAGATCAGAGCAGAAATAAGTAAAACAGGGACAGAAATACGGTAAAAACAAGCAAACAAACAAACCACCACCACCAATGAAAGTAAGAGCTGGTGTTTTGACAAGATAAACAAAATAAACAAAACTTCAGCTAGATCATCAAGAAAAGAGAGAGAAATCAAATAAATAAAATTAGAAATGAAAGAGAAGATATTAAAGCCAATACCCCAGATATACAAGGCATCATAAAAGACTGCTATAAAAAATATACACCAAATCGGACAATTAGAAGTGGATCATTTGCCAGAAAAAAACAACTTATCAAAACTGAATCATAAAGAAACAGAAAACTATCTGAAAAGATCTATGACTAGTAAGGAGACTGAAAGTCCAGGACCAGATGGCTTTACTGGTGAATTCTACCAGACATTTAAAGAAGAACTAATACCAATCCTTCTCAAATTCCTCCAAAAAATAAAAGAATAAAAGGTAATACTTCTGGACACATTTTAGAAGGTCACCATTATCTGACACCAAAACCAGACAAGGATGCCACAAGAAAGGAAATTACAGACCAATATCCCTGAAGAACATAGATGCAAAGATCTTTCACAAAATATTAGCAAATTGAATTCAAAACTGCATTTAAAAAATCATACACCATAATGAAGTGGGATTTATTTCAGGGATGCAAAGTGGTTCAACATTCTCAAATCAATCAGGGAGATACAGGCGCTCATTTTTTTGTTTGTTTGTTTTTGGATTTGACCAAAATCAAAGACAATAAAAACAAAAATGAACAAGTGGAACTATATCAAGTAAAGTTTCTGTCCGGTGAAGCAAACCTGAAGAAAATGAAAATGAAACCTAAAGAATGGGAGACAACAGTTACAAGTCATTTATCTGATGTGGTCATGAGAAGGTGCTAAACATCACTAATGATCAGGGAAACACAATTCAAAACCACAATGAGGTATCACCTCACACCTGTTAGAATGGCGATTACTCAGAAGACAGGAAATAACACGTACTGGGCAGGAGCTGAAGGAGAGAGAGCCCTCACGCACTGTTGGTGGGAATGCGAACTCGTTGTACCTGCTATGGAAAGCAGTATGCAGGATTAAAAGTGTAACTGTCATGTGGTCCAGCAATTTCATTTCCAGGTATTTATCTGAAGGAAACAAAATACTATGTTGAAGCAGTGTCTTGCATCTCTTTGTTCACTGTGGCATTGTTTAGAACAGCCAAGACATAGAAATCTAAGTGTCCATCAGCAGAGACATGAAGAAAAATGTCATACATATACAATGGGATATTAATCAGCTATAAAAAGAAAATTCTGTCATTTGCAAGGACATGGGTCAGTCTTGAGGATACTATGCTTTGTGAAATAAGGCAGACAGAGAAACACAAATACTGTATGATCTAACTCATATATCGACTGTTTTAAAAAAGCCAAACTCAAAGATGCAGATGACACACTGTGGTTGCCAGAACAGGGGCCAGGAATGGAGGAAAGTGGCCAAAAGGTACAAACTTCCTTATAAGATAAGTAAGTCCTAGGGATGTAATGGACAGCACAGTGGTTATAGTTAATAACATATTGTAAATATGAAAGTTCCTCAGGGAGTAGATTTGAATGTTCTCATCCCAAGAAAAAAGAATTATAACTGTGTGGTAATGGACGTTAACTTATTCTGGTAATCATTTTGCAGTGTTTACACATATCAAATCATTATGTTGCACATCTAAAACTAATAAAATTTTATGTTGATGTTTCCTTAATATTAAAATATTGTCAATATATTTTATGACATAAATTTTAAAAAGAAACACTGCATTTCAAATACCTATTATATACTTGTAGATACTATCTGACTAAAATTAGTAACGGGATTCCAATATAATTCCATATATTTTATATTTCTATAAGCTCAATGGGAGAAATTTTGCATATTGGAATGAGAAAAAATTTAAATAATAAGTAGTCTAAGAGGGAAATAATTATTTTCAACAACTAAAAAGGTCTGATTAGGGATCACAAAAGTTGGTACTTAAAGCATGAAATAACTGGACTTCCAGAACTCTCTCCTTGATAATTAATTCTATTTGATATTAACAGCTAACATGGCCAAACTTGTTCTCATAACTGAAAAGGGTAACTTGGAGTCTCAACTCTTATTTATCTTCTAAACACTGAAATGTGTTTCAGTTGCTGTTGTACTGATCTTATTAATCAGAGAGATTTCTTATGATAGAAACAAAAGCTTCTAACATGTTTCTGACACATGTCTGCTCAAACCAGAACCTTTGTTTATTTATCCCTTTTATTTGCTTTTCACATATGTATCACTGCTCTACAGAGGTAGTATAGGAAGCAAAGATTAACTACTTTTTTTATTATTTCAGCTTCAGAGTGGTCATGCGTGGTTAGGATTCCCATCTTGGGAAAAGGCCCAGGAAAGCGAAACTACATCACAGTCCACTGTTTTTTTAAGTACTCAAGGGGCCTTTTTTCCTCTTACGGTTTTATAAATAAGATGTGAAGCTTTTATTTTCCTGATTACAGTGAGAACATATGAATCTTCTAGAAAATGTAACAGTGAGTAAAGGACAAAATTTAAATAACTCTTTTTCCCACCTTTGAGGGGTTCTCACTATTGTTTTCACTGTAAACTGCATGCTGATAAAGTCAAGGAAGTAACAAGGACAGATGAATGCAGGGCACAGATGCGGTGATAGGACAGAGTGGTGGGTGGTCATTTGGTTTCACATTCAGCTAGTGTTGTCAGAAAGCACTTAAAAAACAAACACTTCTCCATCTACAGGTGGTTCAGCTGTTACTCGGTGTTCCTATAAATTAACCAACTTGCTTAGAGTAAAAGGCTGACATGCCATTTGTCATCCTTCCTGATGCAGCAGTTGCCACTTTCACCATGAAGCCACATCAATAATCATGTCACTTCCTTGTGGTTATGATTGGTGATTCAGCCATTCAGTTATTTTCAAATATTATGTTACTGTGTTTTTTAAAAAATATTTACTTTATTGGTTGCAAATGTGCTTCATGCTTCTTTATTCTTAAAATGGTATCAATTACCCACTGCAGCATATAACTTCTATTTTTGAAGCTGGAGAGAAATTCAACTCACAACAATTATGTCTTTGCTATAGTAGGCACCTTCATGTATTCCTTTGTTTTTCTTGGCTTTATGTTACTTTAAAAAATTCATCTATTTTCACTTTGCTTTTGGTTTTAAGACCATGGCTAGACAACTTTCATAGTATCTAAGAAATGTTCTGAGCCATTCAAAGTTAGTTAAAATTGAAGTTATAAGCCATGTAATCCTAGAAAGTGAAGCAACTTAGAAATATGAAAATGAATATTCCAAGAAAAGTGATTCTAAAATTTATTATTTATGCAAAAGGTGAAAAAAATTAATGTAGTGAT